TAACCATAGGCCACGTGCGATGGCTCATACCTGTAATCCCAGCGCTTTAGGAGGTCTAAGTGGGAAGATTGCTTGAGCCCAGGAGTTGGAGACCAGCCTGGGCGACACAGTGAGATTCTGTCTCTACAAAAAAAACAAAAAGAATTTGCTGGGCATGGTGGGGCACACCTGTAGTCCCAGCTACTCAGTCCCAGCTGCCTTGGCCTCCCAAAGTGCTGGGATTACAGACATGAGCCACCACATGTGGCTACTTTCTCTTTTTAATATTGTGACAGGATCTTGCTCAACCTTCTGGTTGAGGCTGGACTTGAACTCCTGGGCTCAAGCGATCCTCCCACCTCGGCCTCCCAGGTAGCTGAGATTACAGGCATGAGCCACCATCCTGGCTTCTCTTTTTTATTCAACTCCTCACTCTCAACTACATCCTTGCTCAAATATCTCTGATTGAAAAAAAAAAAAAAAAACTTTTCCTCAGAACTTATATAATCAAATATCAAGACTTATTTTAAAGGTGACAGATGAAACAGACTAGGGCACACAAACAGGCCCACACATATGTGGTCACCTCATTCATGACAAAGGTGCCTCTGCAGTTAAAAAGAGAAAGGGTAGTCTTTTTAGATACTTGTGCTGGGTCAATCCAACATCCATAGGTGAAAAAACAGTCATTCTCCACCTTATTTCTGACATACGGAAATTAATTTGAGATGAACCCAGGACCTAAATATGAAAAGTAAAGCAATACATTTCATAGCAATATCTTACAGAAGAAAAAATTTCTGACCTTGGAGTAAGCAACATTTCTCTTTTTTTTTAGAGTCTCACGCTGTCACCCAGACTGGAGTGCAGTGGTGTTATCTCGGCTCACTGCAATCACCATCTCCCAGGTTCCAGTGATTCTCCTGCCTTAGCCTCCCAAGTACTTGGGATTACAGGCATCTGCCACCACATCCACCTTTTTTTAGAGACAGGGTTTTACCATGTTGGCCAGGCTGATCTCAAACTCTTGACCTCAGGTGATCCGCCCCCCTTGGCCTCCCAAAGTGTTAGGATCACAGGCTTGAGCCACTGTGCCCAACTGCAAGATTTCTTAAGTGAAACACACAAAAAA